ACGATAGTTGGTAAAAGCTTGGAATGGTCAGTTCATGGGTTGAGCATTAAATTGATTTTGTTGCCCATGACCTTGGAATGCTGAATTTTATGGGGCCGGTTGCCTCCACAAAAAATCTGGGTGATCTCTTCATCCTGGATTGTATGTATTAGAGTAAGGATTATGTGCAGGTTGAGAGAATATAGCATTGGCCTGCTCTTGCGTACCTCTAGAAAATTGCTTCGGTGTGGGGCAATCTTCTTCATGATAAAAAGTGCTTTTGCAAGATACACACATAGCATTTGATGAAGAATTTTGAGAAGAGGAGAGATGTCGTGCCACTAGCTGAAAAATTTGGTGTGTTATGGCATCCACTTGAGATGATTCTTCACTTAAAGTCCGTGGTTGGCACGAATTTGAGGGTTTTGATATATGTTAAAATATACCACTCGCAATAGCTCGAATCTTTGCAGAATAGAACTATATTAAGGGTGTCGAATCACAGAGACCGTCATACACTACAAGAAAATATGTCATTTACGAGTGTCTGGACCTCCCGTGAAAACCTTTTCACGAGACTTCTGAGCCCCTTGTTTATTATGGTCCTGTAAATACTCCCCACTTGCTACGAGAAATAATAACACTCGTAAAAGATTCAAGCACGACGATTCTAGCTTCTCGTAAATAAAACTCTCAAGAGATTTCTAGCCTTTCGTTAATAATTAATTTACGAAACTACTAGCCTCTCGTTAATAATTAATTTATGCGGAAAAAGGTCTTTTACGAGTGTGTGGACCTCCCGTGAAAACTTTTCACGGGACTTTTGAGCCTTCGTGTATTATGGTCCTGTAAATACTCTCCACTTGCTACGGGAAATAATAACTCTCGTAAAAGGTTAGAGCACGACGATTCTAACGTCCCGTAAATAAAACTCTCACGAAATTTCTAGCCTTTCGTTAATAATTAATTAATGTGGTACATGGCCTCTCGTTAATAATTAATTAATGTGGTATATGGCCTCTCGTTAGTAATTAATGTACGACACATTTGGCCTCTTGTCAATACATCTATATATTTTATTTACGAGGTCTAAAGCCACCTGTAGATAGCTATATATATATATATATAAAATAAATTAATGCACTCTACTACCCAATCATTCACATATATAACCTGGCCACAAACAATTATATAAAATGCTAAAAATTTACACTTAATACCAATACCAAAAACAATCCATGTTTAAATTCACTATTAAATATATATCAAAAGAGTAAGACATTAATTTACAATTCATCATTAATTGTTCTATGTGCCAAAATTAAAAAGAAAATTTAATATTTTCCAAAAATAGATATCAATCTTCACATTGTTCATTAATTCCTGGCGCAAGTTGACTTTCAATTTTTCACACTTCCTCCACTTCGTTATCCATTGTACAAAATCCAAGCAAGTACCTATATCACACAAGTCTTAATTTTAGTATAATAATAATGTATATGGAGTAATGACAAAATGCTAGTTTTCTATTTCATACTCTCTAAAATATATAACAAAGTGTGATAAAAAATGGAGTCCCACACTTTGAGAAGCCAAAAACAATCAAAAACCCCCAAAAAGAAATATGCAATCCACATGCCCATGCTTTGCCGGGATTCAACTCCGTCATGCAATCGTCCAATTCCAAATAGAACAAAAAGGTCAAAAAAGGGCAAACACCCCGCAAGTGCAAGTTCTGCGTCTAAAACTTGATTACCAGGAATGTCAACTGCCAATAAAGGTTTAGACATAGAATGTAAGAAACATAACTGTTATGCTCTTTTAAATCTAAGACACATTGATAGTTTGACATCAAAGAAAAAATAACAACTTTAACATGGAACAAATATAGTTAATAGTTGTAAAACAGCAACAAAGCTAAGCTTATGCTAATAATTAGTTTAAGAGGACATATTAGAGAACTCATTAGCTTCAATATAATATACTACAAGAAAAATGTATTGGAGAACATCACGTTATTGAAAATAGACATATATATAGAGAGAGAAAAACGTATTGGGATATTAACAAGTGAAAATAGAGAGAGATTTCACAAACACACACATATAAATATACACACTAGAATTTCTGTGTGAATTTGCGTCATTACATATATATAGGATGGGTTTGGTAATATTACCTTCAATTCTTTTTTAGATTGATCATTCATGCGATACTAAATTGGGTTCGACATCTTAAAGTTGGTCCTACTGAATCTATTGGGAAGGGCCATTTGGGTTGATAATTTGCCCATCAAGAGGGCTTGCTCTACAGAACTGTGAAGTTGTGGAGCAGTTTCTAGTTCCCTTAAGGGAGCATGGCAATCCAAAATTGAGACCATTGCTATGCATTGGGGGGGTTGATATGAGATCGTAGTTGGAGGTCGTGAAGAAGTGTGTGCATTTCGTTGTTGCTACCCCTAGGAGGTTGAAGGATATGCTTGCAAAAAAGAAGACGAGTCTTGATAATTGTAGGTGAGCACTGTTTACATTGAATGGTCTTTATTTTATCTTGCAGTTATATTAAATAAGAGGTGACACACCAATCTGCTTAGAGAATTTACGTTTATTTTATTTCAAACCAAGTCTGAAGCCGTCTTTGCTTTCCTAATATTTTCTGTTCAACTTATTGAATGGCACTATGGCTAACGTTTGTTGTTCCCTTCTAGATGTTTTCATGGGGTCTCAGGTAATGAAAAAAATTGTTTATTCATACTAGAATCATTAATCTTAGGCTATTAGCTTTTAAGATCTAGTTATACGTTTGTTTTTAAGTTAGTTTCTTAATCGAAAGGGAAAGAAAATACCAACAGTGTCTTAATCGAAAAGGAAAAAAATACAGAACTGGTCGAATGGGGCTGAAGAAGTTTCTATCTGCTGCACCAGAGATGGAAATTCAGAACTGGTGGTGGGGAGGTGGAAGGGGGGTTGGAAATCTGCTTACCACTTCTTGTTTTATTGGGTTTGACTTTTAAAATTTTTTACTTGAATCTTCTTCAAAATGGGTTCGTTAAATTGTTTTTGAAAATTTAACTTAAATCTTCCTCAGAAAATTTTCTTATTAACATAGCTCATTTCTGACTTGTTGGTACTTTGACTTCTATTGCTAGCATATCTTTTAAGCATGCTAATTGGTCAACCTAGTGTTCTAGTACTATAGAAAGAGAGAGCATTTATTTTATTTATTTATTTATTTATTTATTAATTATTATTAGAGATTGAAATAAATTTCTCACGAGAATCTGTAGTAGAATTGCGAATGTTAGTTGTCAATACTCTAATACCATTTTGGAGTTTACTTGTACTAAATTTGTTGGGACTTAGGACTAAACATAATTTTATTATGGAGGAGAGGTTAAATTATCCATTAATTTTTAGCTTTCTTACATATTTTCTTGTCAAGGTTTTCTTTGTGTTGTCTTTTGTTTGTACTTACAAGAGACTCTTACCTTTATTATTGTAGAAGATAGGATAACCCCTCTATATAAGGAGAATTATATACTTCATTAACTCTTCTTATACTATGAAGCCTAAAATCAACCTTTGCAATAAACGGGGCATCTGCTGAAAAACTTGAAATGGGGCTAAAGTAGTTGCTATCTACTGCACCAGAGATAGAAATTAAGTACTATTCTAGATTTCTATGTCTAAAATCTTCTTTAATTCATTAGAATTCATTATAAAAATCTATGGATTTATTTGAAAAACAAAGGGAAGGGATAGGGGTTATCCTATCAAAAGAAAGGAAGAGAAGGCCATAATCCTCCCTTTGTTTTGGAGTTTTAGATAGAAAAGGAAAGAACACAAAACAAATAATCACTATTTTCATTTTTCATCTTCAGTTTGATTTCTTTATTTAGCTCAATTGAGAACAAACATGACTCATTTTTGTTAATAAATATAGTTATCTCATATTTAAGTTTGAGAAATTTTAATATAGAGATGACGTGGCCTCTGCCTAGCTTATCAATTCTTTTAGGTTCCCTAACTTCCTTGTCCATCCAATGCAATTTAAATTTCATCTAGCAGTATATGAATTAGGCATTTACTTTTGTGATTGTTTACATGATATTTTGTTTTCATAGATGAATACAAAAAACACACACTTCTGTTTACATGATATCAAATTGGTTTTTTTCTGATACGTTTTGCAAAGATAATAGCTTAAGATGCATAGATGGTTTTTTGATAGCATGATGCTATGAATGTGACAGATACTCCAAAAAAACTTAAGGGAGTTTGTTAAAATTCTAAATTTTAATTATGTCTTTGGAAATGTCAATAATGTTGCGAAATAACTTAATTGCAGGATGAAATGAAAAAGAAGGCTGCACAAGTTTCCCAAAATTCTGATGTATCAGTTCAATCATAAATGATGTTAAGATAGTGCAAAAACCAACTAAGCATTAGGAAGGGATATCTCCGTGGGCTAAAAAATGGTTTTGTAGTTCAAAGCCGTCAACGTGCATCCTCATCTTATGAAGAGGCTTCAAGGAAAAGGGTGGAAATTGCTGAGGAAAGAAATGTGCAACTGATGGAGAAAGTAACAAATTTGGAGGAAAAGTTTGATTTTTTGTTATTTTTCAATCAAATGTTATTGTTACTTTTTTTTTCATTTTTTTGTTATTAAACCATGTGGAGGCAGTAATTTTCTATTCATCTCAGTGGAGCATATGTACAAGAAACACAAGTCCTCTAAGCTTTGGAGCTTAAACTCCGGGAGAAATTTGACCTAGAGGAGGTTGTTGGATCATATTGGGGCCTAGATAACCAAGATTCACATTGTGGTATTCCATTGGAGTGATGTGATGATCAAAATTGGAATGAGAGGAATGTTAAGAAACTTTCTACCAGTACACAACAACAACCAACAACAATTTCACAACAATCAACAATAAATAACAATCAACCACAACCTCCACATACGATGTTCCCATACTCCCATGTTATATCAATGCAATAAAGTAATAGCCACGACAAGGACCCATGCTTTCAACATTAAAGTAATGGCCACGACAAGGACCCATGACTTCACATAGAGATAATTGATAAATGAACTTCATTAGCTAGTAGAATTCAGAACATACCTGCCAGATATGAAGATTAAGAACCAGAACTATGCTCCTAATCTTACTTCAAAAGTAATGGTTTTGTTATGCTCCTAATAAGCTGGTTAAAATAGATCCTGTGAGGAAAAAAATTAAAAATGCAATGCCAACATATATAAAAAATAAAAGAAAATAAAATCAGATCATATGTTAATTACTACTTTTCAAAAAAAAAAAAGGTTAATGAATGACCAATTGACCTCTAGAACTTTCACATATTTGGTAGGCCATAAAACCATGCTTGTGCGAGCATCACGAAGATAAAAAATTCCAGATTGGTTTGCTCAATACAAAAGACAATCCTTTAAAGCTTAAATTAACCAAACCAGTTCCAGAAATTCTTTAAAAACAATGATTCCCCCCCTCCCCCCCCCCCCCCCCCTTTTCCCTTCTTACTCAATTTCAAATCTGAAGATTTAGACCTCAGCAGTCAACACTGACCCACCAAGTATGTAAGCACTAATGCCACTTCACAACAGCAGTCTCTTTAACTAGGCAAAAGGATTGGTCTCTCCCTTGCTTCCTGAACGCTCCCCGTCAACCAAAAAAAAAAAAAAACGCACATGTCCAGACAAAATAGCCTATCAACCACTCTCAGAGGAAAAAACACAAAGAAATAATATATAAAAGTAAATTACAAAAATACATTTAATATGGACATGTTCTATTAAAGACTGGATTTTCTATTCATAGCAGGAAGATGTGCCATGTCATTACTGTCATTATTTATAACATTTAAGACTATGTTGGCTCCTGATATAGCTACCCTCTTTCGGGACTCCAGCTTAAACTTTCGTGAGAACCCTGTTCCTTTATCAAGCAATCAGTTAACTTAGAACAGATGAGCATTCTAATTATCATGTTCCTTTGAAATAAAAATAAAAAGATAAGCTGTTTCAAATATAGGTAATTTAACAACGAAATTTATCAAGCAGTCAGTTAACTTCCACTTTGTGCGTAACAATAACCTGTTTTTTATTTTTCTTTTTTTGAGAAAAAAAAAAACAGATAGCACTTTATTTTTATAAAAAAAATTAAGGTAATTTATAGCAGATAAGTATTTCAACAATGAAATTTCTCAAGCAATCAATCAACTCCCACTTTTGCATGCCAATAACTTGTGTTTATAGATTTTTCATGGCTTTTTATTTGAATTGCATGAGCAACCGTATGACACAGCAACAAAGAAGTCACTCACATCATGTAAGAATATGATTTGTATTAATATAATTAGGACTTGTCCCACAGATAGTAAGCTTATTATAAAACAAATAAACTTGTCAATTAACATTTAAACTATAGAACCTCTCAATGCAGAAAGGAAGTATAAATTAGCCTCTTAAAAGGATACCCGCTTCTCAAGACATCGGAGCATAGCAGCATCTAGTTCCCAAGGAAGATTTGTTGCTGCCAAAACAAAAACAAGCTCATTTGTCCGCGTCAAACCATCCATCTACAGTCTAACTCTAGCCATTAATTTTTGTGAAAGTAGAGATGAAATCATATATGAATTTTTAAGTGATTTACTTGTGCACCAAATGTAGATTTATTGTAGAGACATCATATAGCAAAATCTTTTTAGAAGTACTGGATACAATGGCAAGGAATGTCCATAAGCATGAGCCACACATATGACGTGAAATATAAATTAACACAGGTGTCAGTGTTGAACAATGACCTCAAAATGTGAGGATAATGATAGTTGGTTCCAACACACTCATACAAGTGTGTTTTCAATGTCCAAAAAAAGCTAACATAGGAGTACCTAGAGCACACAACATATCTGTAATTGCTGTTATTTAGACTCATACAAGTGTGTTTTCAATGTCCAAAAAAAGCTAACATAGGAGTACCTAGAGCGCATAACATTTCTGTAATTGCTATTATTCAGATGGGGATAACTAATCAAAAAATAGTATTCCCGTGATATTGCTTTCGATGGAATTGTGTAGATCAGATGAATGTTGTGGAGAGGATTTACTTCTATGGATTACATAAAATGGAATTTCTACAACTGAGTCCACGGTGTCACTCATTTCATGCTACAAGGCCTTTGCTCCAACAATAACAAAAAAATAGACAAAAAAGATCCTCTACACAGGATCTTAAAAGATATAACATGTGATATCTAGTTAAGGTAATTTCCAATTCAGTGTTGCACTCATTGATGTTTTTAGTGCTTTGTTTTTATATGTTTTGTATTCCAGTTCTACATAAGCATGCTTTTTATATATTATTATTGCAATTCTAAAAAATAGATGTCACTTGTATGAGTAGCTCATTTTTCAATCGCCTACTTGCTTTATGCCCACTGCGTCCTTCACCACGCTGACTAATGATTGCATTGATTTCATTAACAAATATAGTTGACGGTGCGTGATGCCTCGCAAGCTCAAACAACACTTTTATTAACTTCTCTGAATCACCTGTAATGCTATACAAAGTTAGAAGTGTGATGCACTGCATATCTGTTAATAATTAACTTTCACAGAATATCTGTCATAAGTTATTTTCTCAGCAAAGAATGTTAGATCTTATGAATCAACTAATTTGCTTATAAACAATTGTCTTAATACAAGACAGCACTGGGAAATAAAATATAATGGTTTTATGTTGTGCTTCGACTAAGAAATGCGTGGATATTTTGAGTTCAATAAAATAAAGAAAGGTTTTAGGGGTTTGTAGACAACAATGGATTGGAATTGGCTCCACTTAGGGACCGATAGGGTGCAGGAAGTACAAAAAAAGTGCACAGGAATGGAATCTATGGGTAGTAAATATTTTGTTATTTTTATTACTAAACTAAGGCCAATAGGTAGGAGTTGACTAGGATTTGATGCACTATTTGAGGCTGTGAATAGTAACTGAGGCATCAGCTTTCACCAGTGCACCAAGCAACAACCTCTTACGAGGAAAGAAATGTATCACAAAATTTAAAACAGCAAAAAGAGGAAATAAAAAACAACCAAAGGTCTGGACAAACACATAAACATTAATACTTGCTACATAGAATATCAAATAGAGTTCTGATACAACTGAACCCAACAAGCCTTGTCCGAACTATTGAAGATCAGCTACATGAGTCATAATTTTCCATTCTACTCTACCTAATCACAAGTAATCATATCATTTTTTTTTATCCGAACCTATGTTAATTTTGATATTTCCTTTCCCCTATCCTTACCAACAATGCAAGATCACATCAATCTTCCTCCCTTTTGCAGTTCTTAATCTCATCTCATTACACATGTCTAAACCATTTTACTCGATTTTTCTCATTTGTCTTCACTCTTAGCTGTTACTACTTTAAACGTTTCACAAATAATCTTTTCTGATTTCAACATTTCTGATCTTGCCACGTGTCCACATCTCAATATTCGTATTTTCATTTTGTGATCATTTTATAGAATTTACCCTTTTTCTTTTTAATATATATGTTCGTCAAGGCATGGTAGCAACTGTTGGCATGTTCCATGAACTAAAAATTGTGAATTATATAAACAAGACTGGTAAAATTATGTTTTAAAGAGTTGCTAATCTTATTACTTGAGATCAGAGTGACATGCGTAAAATTGGAGATGGGACTTTCAGAGTGATTCATCAGCTGATTCTTTAATGAATTAGTCATTCACACTAGGTACATGTAAGTGACTTAGAGAAGAAAGTATCGGATTGGCTAATAGGTAGTTTAGTGGACCAAAACAAGACATAGTTGAATTATGTTTTAAAACTGAATTATGTTTTAATGAATTAGTCATTCACACTAGGTACAGGTAAGTGACTTAGAGAACAAAGTATCGGAATGGCTAATAGGTAGTTTAGTGGACCAACACAAGACGTAGTTGACCACACAATATGATAGAATTATTTGTAAATAGTTTTGGTATGTTTTGATTGTAAAGTGTAAACAGTGGCTACCCGGCCAATTGAAGAAATGTTCAATTGATCAAAGAAAGGTTTGAACTAAGTATCCACGATTCGATATATTTTGACCCTTAATCTATATCAAATTATTCCAAGGATTTCTAATTTTTGCTAAAACTGAATTCCTTATGTTCAATTTTAATCCTACTTATTAAACATCTTGATTTCAAAAATTCAATCCAAACCTCTATTTCATCACTTGTACCCACTTTAATTTGTCAATTGAAAAATAAAAATTGTCATCTAGCAAAAAACATACATAACGGAACATCAAAAGTACACTCATCGATTTTCTGTAAGCCCATTATTTTTAAAATTCACTTGTTTTTCATGTATTCTTAGATGTACAATAAAAAAAAAAGAAACTCATCTAAAAACAATCTTAAGTGATACATTTGTGAGAAAAATTGTACAAGTTATTAGCCAAAAGCCTCAAGACTAATGGTATCATGATGTTAAAACTTTTGAAATTGTAGATTTTCATACAAACTCTTACAGCACATGCTCAACTATCAATAACTGAGTGTCCTATTTTGCAATGCTATGTTGCAACTCACTTTTAAGGTTGTTGGAATAATTTTTCAAATAAATTTGGTTCTATTAGTTTTGTTATAAAATTTATTATTTAAGACATCCATAAAACAAAAAAAAAAAACCCAATCAATAATGAAATGGAAAACAAAAAAACCCAAATCTAGTCACAACCAAAGCAAATCCAGCAAATAAAATCGACAACCAGAGAAAACAATATGCATGTGTTAGCCCTAAAAATTGTTTAAGAAATAGGGATTGAAGAAAACCCTTAAAATGTTTGAGAAAGAGGGATTGCAGATTACTTGAAGAATGAAGGTAAGTCCGGATCCTCGGTTCTAGAGAGTAAAGAGAGGGTTGAACAAATAGCTCTGTGTTGGTCAAGGTAGAAATTTGTTGAGATCGCCCAACTTTCCTTTCCCTGTCGAACCAGAACTTCAAGCAGAGATGGAGATAGATAGGAGAGAGAACTTCAAGCGAGGCAGAGATTTGAGATAGAACTTCAAGCGGAGATGGGGTAAATGATCCGGTTGGGTGAACAAAAATCTTCACTAATTAATTCATTGAATTTTTTTTAACCAAAATCAGATATATACTTCGAACGTCGAATTTGTAGAAGATTTTCCAGAATCAAAGAACGAGAAATAAAATAGAGTATACAAAAAGAAAACTACGTGCTTTAATGTTCAGAGACCCAGAAAAGAGATAAAAAATTTAACGAGGTGAGAGAAACAGAGTAGAAAAGGGTTTACTCTTACAGCTTCATTGTTGAAGAGGAATGTCACAATACTGTTTGTTGCAAGCTTTGAAGTGAACTTGATTCTTGGTCAAGTGTGTGTGAGAGAGATGGATAGCAGCCTTAGCAGGGGAGAGACTGGCTGGGTGTTGTCGGCATAGTAAGCAACAAGGTGGGATCCAGCCTCCTCAACAGAAATAATGGAAGAAAGAAGATTAGGGCATTTTGAGAGACTGGCTGGGAAAGAAAGAAGATTAGGGCTTTTTGTGGTCTGTGTGTTAGTGACATGAAAAAAAAAAAAAAAAAAGGCTTTTGGCGGGTTGCTCTTCTGTGCACGCGGGAGACGAAAAGTGTGGGCGGGATTTTTATTTTTTATTTTTATTTTTATATTCACGGGAGGAAAATACTCCCTTAAAAATATATTTATTTACAAGTGGCTTTTTCCTTCGTAAGTGAGGGAGGGATTTTTATTTTTTATTTTTATTTTCATATTCACGGGAGGAAAACACTCCCTTAAAAATATTTATCTATGAGTGGCTTTTTCCCCGTTAAGTGAGGGCAGGATTTTTATTTTTTATTTTTATTTTCATATTCACGGGAGGAAAACACTCCCTTAAAAATATTTATTTACGAGTGGCTTTTTCCCCGTTAAGTGAGGGTGGGATTTTTATTTTTTATTTTTATTTTCATATTAACGGGAGGAAAATACTCCCTTAAAAATATTTATCTACGAGTGGCTTTTTCCCCGTTAAGTGAGGGCGGGATTTTTATTTTTTATTTTTATTTTCATATTCACGGGAGGAAAATCCTCCCTTAAAAATATATGTAATCTACGAGTGGCTTTTTCCCCATTAAAGTTGAATCAATCCTTCGTAAATATATGTAAACATTAACGGGCTCTTTAAACTCCCGTGAAAACAGTTTTTAACGAGGATTTTATTAACATCCCGTGAAAACATGACCCTTTATGTGTAAAAAGGGGCTTTTACGAGAGAAAATAAAAGATCCCGTAAATACTACCTCGTAAAAGCCCACTTTTCTTGTAGTCTATATAGTTTATTTAAGCATTTAATTAATATTATTTTGATTCAAGGAGAAAATCTAATTGTTTTGATTGTTTGTGTAGGTGGAAATTTTTACACCTGAACACTTAAATAAATAAACTGAAAAGAAGTGCACAGAATAAAAACAATTTTTAAGGAGAAGAACAATGATGGGAATTCGATGGCTCTTCATTCTCATTCAGGCTTTATTTATAACCTTTTCTCAGAGATTTACATGGAGCCATTTCTTGGCTTTTATTCCCAAATGTGGGTAATTACGCCTATTGATCGTGTGTGCATCATTATGGCAAACGTTAAGGAATTTTGGGCTTTGTTGAGACTGGGCCTTCTATTCAGCTTTCATGTTAAGTGGAACTTTCTCCACTTAATTGGGCTGAATTGGTACGTGTATATGGCTTCTTCTATTGGGCCTCCAATGGATTGTGGGCTTCTAGTTGTCTTAGTTTGGTTGTGGGCTATTTTTTTGCTGCCACGTGGTGTGTTGTGATTGGAGGGGTTTTATCCCTCCACACTTTTCCCCCGATTCCTTTTATAAATTTGATTCATATAAGGAATTGTAACTGCTTTCGGGAAGTGGAGAAGTTTTCGCGGCTATTATTGCGTATCATTGCCATTTGCGCTGCTGATTTTGGGGCCTTGTGTTTGTCCTTCCATTATCTGCCTCGTTCTATTTATATATTGGGTTTTTGTCATTTGGGCATCTGCATCTGCAGTTTTATTCTCGAGTTTTGACGAGAGTCTGATTGCTGCTTCAACATCTCCTTCCATTTGCTGAGGTTAGTTTCTCTTCTCGTTCCATCTTTCTTGCATTATGAGTCAAGAGAGTAGTGAACGAACTCATAGTGTTCATATGTCTGATTTCGAATAGGGAACTGCGGCAGCGAGTCTGAGTGATTATACCGGGGGTCCTATAGTCCTCCCTGCTGATATTATAGAAAGGAAGTCTTTTTCGATTTCTCAGTTAAGAAAGAAGAATTGCGTTCCTTCTGATGTTACCCTTAAGGAGTACGATCATGATTTAAATTTTAGTACAGGTGAGGGTTTGAAAGAAGGCGAGATGTTTTTCTCAGCTTTACATTTTCCTACCTTTCGATTCCCCCTTAATCCTTTTTACCTTCGAGTTTTATCGGTGTTGAATCTGGCCCCTCTTCAGGTTAACCCTAATTTCTTTTGTATTCTCTTCTGTCTTCTTTCTTTGAACATGATTCGAGGTTTGACCTTGAATCTTGTCAATCTTTTGTTTTGTTACTCACTTGATAGATTGAAAGGCGGAGAGGGTACATTCCACCTTTATTCTAGGCCAGGTAGGACTCTTTTTTCTCACCTTAATACTTCTGACTAGGAGTGGAAAGACAAAATTGTTAAGGTCGAAGGGGCGTGGCGATCTTCCTCCTCTCGGGATTTATTCATTCGATCGAGCTTTCATGCCCCATTTGTTCCCGTATTTGATGATTTGGGTGAGTCTTCTTGCTTCGTCTGTATCGTAAAGTATTTTTGTTATATTTAAGACTTCCTGGGTCATGAAACTAACTTTTTCTCTTCAAAATTTGTAGATAGTCACCTTGCTTATTTGCAGGAAAGGGTCTAGAATGACATTCCTTCTGCCAAGGTCCTTCTTTTATCTTCTCTTCTTGAGACTATCTTGAGGGATTCTCTGGTAATTGTTCAAAATCCTGAAGAACCCGTTAATCTTGATGCTTCTGATTCTGAGGCTATCCTTCTATCATCTGCCCCACTTTCCCTTTCTCAATCAGTGATGGAACTTCCTCCTCCAAAACCTCGCATGACTAAGTAGGAGAGGGAAGCAGCTGCTAAGTTGCTGCAAGAAAGAAAGAACCTCCTTGTTGAGATGAGTAAGCTCTCTTCTTCTCAAAAGCAGAAAGGGGTTCAGTCTGGGACTAAGCGTCCCTCCACAAAAGATGACTCCTTTATAAAGCATCCCAAGCTTATAGCTGGGGCTTTCGGGGGTAAAAGTGCCTTAGTTCCTAGCGCTGCTGATGCTGCCGGTGGTGATTTTGTGGGGTCCACTGAAAAGTGGTTCCCCGAAATGATGAAGGCTGATGGGTCCCCTATCACCATCGGTGACTCTGGAGCTAAAGACCCAGAAACGCTGATGGGCTTAGCCAGAGGGATGTGGCCTCCCAGAGATGAAATTTTACAACAGTAAATAAGTACTGACGACCTGCTGTCTCTTGCTCCCAAGTCCATAATGGAGGTAATTCTTCCTAATTTCTCCTCTCCTTTCTTGCTTGGCTTTTTTGACAATTCTTTGTTGTTTTTGCACAGAGCTCTTTCTTGATGTTCGCTTTTATGAAGAAGCTGTCAGCCGGCTCCCTTCAGACGAACCAGTCTACTGCCCTTCAAAAGAGGGTAAGTGTTTTGGAGGCTTCCCTTGCCGAGGAGAAGAGAGAGAAGATCCAGCAGCTTAAATCAATTGAGTACTTTAGCAAGAGAGCTAAGGAACTTGAGCACAAAGCGGCTAAGCTTGACTTACAGTTTGGGAAGGCGAACTCTCTTATTCAAACCTGCAAGGATGGGGATTTAGAAATGTTCAACCATTTTTCCCAGATTGTGAATCTTCACAATGCCAAAGGCTTTAGCCCTGGTTACGCTCAGGGGCAGCTTCCTTTTGAGGAGAGAGATTATGGTGATGCTTGTGACGGCCCAAGTTTTTCAACCCGGTGCGTCAGTGATGAACTGAAAGTTGACCCGATAACGGATCTGAAATGCAGAAGCGAAAGATAAAAACCAAAGTCTGTAGAGATATAAACCATCCCCAAGACACCAATGTGACCTTCCATGAAGTCACGGAGCTCAAGGAAATAATCGGAAGCGAAAACTAACATGAAAAGGGTCAAATGGTACCCTATGGCACCAATGACAACCAAAGGGACAAAATCTAGTTCAAACTAGATCACGTACACCAAAACAAAAACAAAAAAAGAAACTTTAAGCCTCACTTGAATCCCCCATTGCATGATCAAACTTAATTATATGCAAGTGTGTGATGATGTGAACATACACACAAGTGTAAAACAACATTTTAAATATGCTGAATTGGCCTATGGCTTTATTACAATTCATTTACAACATTTAACATGTCAAACCTATAAGTTGGAAAATATTACATTTCATAGGCAAAACTTAAACATGCTAACACTTGCATGTGAACAAGAATGCTTCTAAAGAAAGTTCAATTCTGCAAATCACCAAAGCAAGTGCAAATCTCCAATCTTGTATCCTGTACCTGAAATATGCCCCAGTAACTTTGGGGTGAGCAACATAAAGCTACTCGTAGGAAATGAGCATGCATTGACCTAACGTTTTATAATTTTATCACCTTAAGGTGAAACATGCTAAAGGGACTCATGCCACCTAACGTTTATGTCAAAATGAGACTCAGGGAGCATCCTAAGCTACCCTAGATCACTTCTAGCATCAATCACATCATCCATACAATTCAAACCACATAGAAGCATGCTATACAAAGCAACATGATATAGATTCTCAAAGTTACCAACTTGAAATCTAAAGTGCGAAAATAACCAAAGTGGGTCATGCCACCTAATGTCTATGTTCCAAATGAATCTATAGGATCACTCCTAAGCTACATTTGAACAACAAAACACAAATCACAATATCTATGCAATTTAACCAACATAGATGCATGCTATACAAAGTAACTAGATATAGATTCTCAAAGTCATCAACTTGAAATATAAAATGCGAAAGCAACCAAAGTGGTTCATGCCACCTAGCGTCTACGTTCCAAATGAATCTATAGGATCATTCCTAAGCTACATTTGAACAATAAAACATAAGTCACGATATCTATGCAATTTAACCAATCATAGAAGCATGCTATATGAAGCAACAAGACATAGATTCACAAAGTTCTCAACTTGAAATCTAAGGTACGAAAACAACTAAATATAACAATTTAGTATAATTAGAATTTCTAATACCACACATCAAGACATAGATTTTCTAGATTATCGACTAGAAATCTAAAAATGTAAGATCAACTAAATATAGCAATTTAGTATGGATATACTTAACAACATCAAATCGCCAATAGCCAAAATCACAAGTCAATAGATATACACGATTGCAAACTTGGAATTGAATGCGAACACAAATAATGGAAGACTTGGACATCTGAGCTCAGAATTCTGCCGAGACCTCAACGGCTATTACGGGCACTAACCTGCTGGTAATACCACCCCAGTGCGCACTATCTTAACGACTTAGAAGACTCTTGTCCCCGTACTAGAGCCAAACTCTAGCCATCTCAATGTAACCATGTCCGAAGACTCCAAAATAGATACGTAATAGATAGTACACAAAACTACCTCTATGCACAAGTAGGTTGAAACCATACAATACATGCTCTAAATCCACAACTACTATAGGATGACAGTGTCGAATCTTCAGAGCACGATTTGTTACGCGCCATATAACATCACATGTCGAATCTTCAGTGTGTGATTCATTACACGCTATGGCAATATAATCCAATATTGAAAACACAACTCATGAATCCA